GGGTGGGTGGGTCTGGAGATGCTAATTCTCAAATTTTGCATAAGGATTCTCTTCCTTGAACAGGCCTAAAAGAGAGGAGAGATTTGTTCAGACAGCAGCTCCCACACTGGTCACAGCCAGCAATAAAACCAGTCCTGGGAAACAACTCTTTGTCATTTGAGCATCCTCAAGCCTCCTGGCTGCAGTTCTCCCAGAACACCTGCTCTTACTTGAGCAGTGCCCATAGTCAGCTCTGTTTCACTCACCCCTTCTGCACAAGAGGAGACATCCATTGAGAAGTTTGACCTGATGGCAAACTCCTCTCCCAGGCAGTCCATGTACAGCCCAGCTAATCTTCCAGAGTGCTCCCTCTGTACACCCCTTCTGTCAGACTGGACTTGAAAGCTGAGAGCCCAGACCCAAATTAAACTAGAACTGTTCTTAGATTTGCTTCCCTGCTCCTGCATTGAGACTGGGAAACAGCAAGGCACGGGCTGACTTTTGGGCTAGCAACAAGCCATGTACCATGGTGTTTGCTGCTTTCCCAGCTCAACACTTTTGAAGAACAGAGAACAGCCACAAAGGACAAGACTGCAAACTCTGGGGCCAGGCTGCAGCAAGACAGCCCTGACACACCAAGACAGTCCCAGAGGACAGCTCTTCCACAGGCAGGTGCTTCCCCTACCAAGAGCTCCTTCAGGCACACCTTTGCTTGCTCTTTCTTCCCCAAAGAACCCAGCCCATTCAGAGGCCCTGGGATCTCCTGCCTAACCTGGATCTGCAGCAGGCAGCAGCTGCAGGCAGAGGAAAGGTCTCTAGCTTTCCCTACAGCCCCCTCAAAACCAGAGACCACCAAGTGCAGCATGCACAAACCCACCTACTCCACAGCCAGACTCTGGCAGAGCCCCTGGAAGCCACAATGGGCAGGCTGGAGGGACCCTCCCCTGCACAGAGCAACTGGTTGTTCCCTGCTTCCTTCCAAGCTGATGTTCCCCTCAGGTAGGTCCAGACCTGGCTCAGGTCCATGGGACTCACCTGAGGGACAGTCCAGCCCCAGGAGAGAGGCTGTGCACTCCCATCCCCAGGGGACAGACACACCTCCTGGGGAACTGCTACCAGCACAGAGGACCAGGGGGATTGGGGTGGGATTGGTGCCTGTGCTGTGCTCCTGCAGCTGTGGGCATTCTGATTCCTACCTGCCCCCACTCCCCAAGGCTGCTGGCTCCCCTCCCACTTGCTCACCACAGGGCTACTGGAGGGCTGTGCCTGAAGGGTAACAGCATTATGATGGTGCTGTGTCTGCCAGCTTCTGGTTCTCCCCTCCAGCCAGGCTCTGCCTGCTTCTCCCACATGGTAAACTTGTAGGACACATTCTGGGCAACATTATACACTTCCTCCTCCCTGCCCAGGAAAAACAGCCCTTGTGTGGGCTCATGTACCATGACCCCAGCATCTCTACACTTGCTCTGAGCCAAGAGAAGCAGGGACCATGTTTTCTCTGCTGGCCAGGTCTCATCTACAGCTGTAACCATGGCAAGGAGCATAGTTACTGAGGCTGCTTCATCTAAAGCTCAGTTTGAATCACTCATGTCAGCACTGTACCATATTTTCTTCGGATTTCATCATGCCGTGATTTCATCTCTGCTCTCCTGCAAGAAGCAAACAGAAAAGCTGTGAGTCAGTAACTGGTGATACAAAACGGAACAAGAGGAGCCAGAGCTCCTTGCTTGTTCCCAACCAAGGGAGCTCCAGGCTGGCAGGTTTGCTCAACCTCCTGGAGGCTCTGGGGACCACCAGAGCCCACACACGTCAGCAGCCCTCAGGGAGTTGCATACACGATACTCGTGATACTACATCCACGAGTCAGCCCAGCATGACATTCCTCATGGGGCTTGTGTGTGAGCTAGGGTTGAAGCAGCCACTGACTGCACATGTTGAGCCCCACGTGCCTCCTGGCAGAAGCCAAATCATTCTGCAGCCTCAGGGCCTGTGGTACAAACTCACCTCTCCTCTTGCCGCACCCGTCTCTTCTCCCGCTCCCTGGCTGCTCTCTCGTCATCCTTGTCTGGCCTGGTTAACAGAAAAGCCCCTCTCAGCACTCAGTTCTGCAGCAGCACATGGCTCCACACAATCAGGGGACCCCCCCCAATACTTACTTTTTGCTCTTTTTCTTACAACAGCAGCAGCAGCAGCAGACTCCCAACATGATCAGAAGTGTTCCTCCCACCACAGACATTGCAATGATCAGGGCTTCAAAGTTCACTGAAGGATTTGAAAAAAATGTGTTTAGCACAACAGACACAGCTGCCTGGAGTTACAATACAGTATCACAGGATCACAGAATCATTAATGTTGGGAAAGCACTCTAAGATCATCAAGTCCAACTGCTCCCCCAGCACTACCACTGGTAAACCATGTCCCCCTGAGAACAACAGCTCTGTGTTTTTTGAATGCTTCCAGGGATGGTGACTCTACCTACCACTGCCCTGGGCAGCCTGTTTCATTGTCTGACCACCCTCTGAGTGAAGAATTTTTTCCTAATATCCCACCTAAACTTCCCCTGGTGCAACTTGAGGCCATTTCCTCTTATCCTACAGCCATTTTCTCTTGTCCTGTTTATGAAAATACAACTACTGTCACCAGCAGCTTCAGTCACTGGGCTGGAGATGTATAACCACCTGGGAAAGCAAGTGGACATTGTTAGCTGTAGATATACCAAGTGTTGGTACCCACAAATAAACACCAGCTTGAGTACATGTATCTGCTAATAGGAGTGCTCAGTTACTGGCCATGAAGAAAGGTGAGGACAAACACACACAGGTCAAACTCCTCTGGCAGAAACAGGAGCAAAGCTATCTTAATCACTAATCCAGGTAAAAAGTAACCATCAAGGGAAAAAACCCAGCAACTGAAGGCTTCAGGGCTAAGGAACAACCTCTGACAGGGAGCAGTTACTGTCCATGGGAGCAAGCCTCAGAAGTGATCTCTGATGAGAAGAGCACTTACAGGTGTCTGAAGACCTTGGGCAAGAGATAAACTGAAACAAGATCTGTTGGGATTTATCAGCTTGGGGCCAGCAGTGCTGCTCAGGCAGCTGAAGGCCAGGTCCTGCTTCCTACACCTGACTGCCATGTCTCCCCAGGGTTGGGGGGATCTGCTTGCCCACACACAGAACAAAACCTGCTGGAATATGGTAAAGCAGCAGCCATGAGCCCTGGTCTCTGTTCATCCTACTGAGCTCCTGCAGTAATGGCAGTAGAGACAGCAGCCAAAACTGACACATCTAGATGCCAAGGATTTCAGGCGACAACAAAGAGGAGTTTCTTCCAAGTATGAATCAGGCTGTTCAGAGACTTGAGCCTGTGAAAATATTTGTTTAGGAGCCACTTTGCACACAACAGCCAGGTTACGGAAATATCAGAGTGCCTGAACCTGCTCAGAGCACTTTTGAAGATCATTTAGTCCAACTCCCTGCCGTGGACAGGGACATCTTTCACTAGACCAGGCTACTCACAGTCCTATCTAACCTGACCTTGAATGTTTCCAGGGATGGGGCATTCAGCACCTCTCTGGGCAGCCTATGCCAGTGCCTCATTACCCTCACTGTAAGAAAATTCTTCCTTTTATCTGTTCTAAATAGATCCTCTTTTAGGTACTCCAGGCTGAGCTGACTCCACCACTGAAATTGTTTTCAAAGCCTGCAGCAGCATCAGTGCTTCTGAAACCCTTCTGGGGTTCCAGGATGAGCCTGGGGTTCAGCTCCCCCTTTCCCACATGGAGAGGTCTGTGGCAGAGCACCAGGCACTCCTCCAGTTGATGACAGAGGCTAAGTCACACACATCAAACATGCAGACTCACGTAAGAGCTAATCTCCCACAGGACTAATCTCCTCTATAGCAAGCTTTGCAAGCTAAGGAATGTGTTCTTCAATAATGAAGCCTTTTGTGAAGTTACTCACATTAAAATTAGTATTTCAAGGTCTTACAGAAGTTTCAGAAAAGCATACCACAGGGCTCACAAAGAGGAGATTCTTCCTCTACAAGCATAAGAGCAGTTTGAACTCTTGTGGGCAGACAAGAGAGCCCAGCCTCGAGCACAACAGATGACAGGCAATGACAGTTCAGCTCCAGGCTCCTCATCAAGGGGGTGGGTGAGAGCAACTAAGCCCCAGCTTGATTCCTTCCTGCTCCAGCCCCCAAAAGCTGGCTCCTGTCTGAGAATGAACATGCACTAAGCTTCGTCTAAACAAGGCACCAATTTCTCCAGAAATCCTTCAGAAGACAGAACAACAGGGAGGAGAAACAGCCAAGAGCCAGCTGTCCACCAGAAAAACCTCCCAGAGCAGCCCTGCACATGCAGCGGTAGTTTCAGAAGAGATTTTTATCTTAGGTGGGTAAGAGCTGAGCAGGGCTATGGTACACTCGGAGCATTCACAGGTTTTCCAGAGCAGTCACCACACCTCTGGCTCCAGGAGCCCACCTGGGACAGCAGCCACATGAAAAGCCAGAAGCAGTGCACAGAATGATGTGCCAGCTGCAGTGGAGAGATCTTCTGGGATTCAGACACCAGGAAGGGCTTCACAGGCCCACAGAGAACCTTCCACTCCTGTTCCCAGGCGCTAGCCATGTCTGGAGCCTCCATCACACCAAAGCATAAGGGATGTATTTTGGACTAGCTAAATCCTCACGGGTCCTACTTGCCAGAAGGCAGGGAACTGCTCATACTCCGCTTCCCCACCCACACTTCAGGAAGTTTGCAGAACCTTGACTGACTTCAGCCTGTCATTACTACACTGGCAGAGAGATGGGGAGGCAGGAGAACCTCCCACCAGCAGCAGGCACTCACACAATCATCACCCCAGGCTGGCACTTACCCCAGCAGACTCCCCAGCGTGCAGAGGGGAGCTCACACAGGTCGGCCGGAGGAAGGATTCTTCGGACGGGGTATTCCATGCACCTCTTGCTGCTGGCACACCACAGGCACTAGAACACAGGAACCAGGCACCACAGTGTTACTGGTGCACTGCCAGTGACCCACGCTTTGCTTTGGCAGCCACAGCACAGGGCCACTGCTGCCAGCTCACAAGAACCAGATAGCACCCAGCAGCAACAGGGTGCTCAGGAGTAAGAGCTGCGTCAGTGCAGATCACACCAGAAGAGGAAGGCGAGGGGAGTGCAGAATTCTAAAACAAGTAAAGATGCTGACAATCCTTCTCCTGGCTTAGAATTGTAGACTATCCTGAGTTGGAAGGGACTCACAAGGATCATTGAGCCAACTACTGGCCCTGCCCAGGACAGCCTTAAGAATCCCACCATGCCTTGCATAATTAATAACACAAATCCTTTATCTTTATTTTTGGAATAAGAAGAAAGCCTTTGAGACAAAGCACTCTACACACACAGAGCTGATGAGCTGGTGGGTGTGTGTGTCTGCCCAGCCACTACTCCAACCCCAGCATTCAGCAGGGTTTGGTCAAACTGGTTCTGGCGACATCAGCTGCACGATCTGACTCAAGTTCAAGTTTGCTGATATCTGCGATAAGGCAGAGGAGACTGGCAGGACACCAGTTCACATCCTGCATCCACCCAGTGCCATGGCACAGACTGGTGGAGGGGAACTTGACCAGCCTGTCCAGCCCACTCAGTCCCTTCTCCAAGCACATCGCCCATCCATGAGGAAGCAGCTCAGCAATTCCATTACTCTAATCAAAAAGCACACAACAAAACCCACCCAGTTTCTAGCAACCTCCTTCCAGAGCACCAGAGAGAGACTGCCCTCTCACCCTCATAAGTGGGTGGAATTTGCAACATGTCTGGGACAAGGGCAGGGGACCAGCCCCCTTTCCAAGAAGGAAACGTTTTCAGGCATGGTGACAGGTTGGGAGTCTCAACTCTGCGAGTCTCAACTCATGCTGCTACTCACAGTGACATTTTTCAGGCACTCTTCACAGCTCCTGTTCGTGTACTGGTGACAATCTGCAGGAAGGAAAAAAGACACCTCAGGACTTTGAAGAGCTTCAGTGGTTTAAAACTCTGGGCTCCTCCAAGCCTGCTCCTACCCAGCACTGGACCAGCAGCAATGCATGCTGCTGTAAGAGCCACCAGCTTCAGCCCGTGCTCCATGTCAAGCAGGAGACCCAAACGCAAATGGAAGTTCATCTGCCTTGCCCTGCTGACAAAGCCCGAAGCTGTGAGTTCCTCTCTTGGGTTTTATTTCCCTAAAAGCCTGAGCATCTGCTATGGCAGCAGGGCATCCAGGGGACAATTTGGAGGAACCCTATGAGGATGAGAGCAAGCACTGGGTGGTTGGTACAGTCCTGCAGCACCAGATGATGGAGCAGCTCAAGCAAACAAGCCCCAGACACAGAAGTTGCTACTAGGAGAAGCAGAGGAGCACACAGGGACACACAGAGCTACAGATCCTGCAGGAGGGCTCCTGCTGTACCTCAGGGCCATACCCTACCCCAGCCAGTTCACCCAAATCTTCCTTCAGCAGGACACAATCCAGGCAGTGGGAGCAGCACTGCAGCCAAAACCTGTGCACGTGTTCAGAACCCGTTTCCACCCCTATTTAGGAGAGGAAGGCCCCACAGGTGGCTCTCAGGACCAGTGCCACCATGGCTGATGGCATCCCCGCAGGACACATCCAGCTGGGCAGATCTGAACCTGAACAAAGGACAAGCTGGCTCGGTCCAGCCCCCATTCTGAGCTTAGCTACAGCTCCTAGCAGTGCTCTTGGAAAACATCTTCCTACAGGATATTCACCTGCAATTCACTGGTGTGCTTCCCCAGATCTTCAGGAAGGGTGGATTGCCAAGCCCTCAAGAATGAGCCATTTAAAACTGACTCCTGCTTAAGAGTCTAAGCAGCAGCTTGTTTGACAGCGGTTTAAAAGGAAAACTCAAATCAATTTGCCTGACCACTCACTGCTGGATGAAGGATCACGGCTTTGCAGTGTCATAATCAGGAAAAAATCAATCCCAGAGGTGCCTGCTTTCTAGTCTCACAATCAGCAAAGCTGTATTTTCTCCCTCCAGCTGGCAGGAACCCTCAGCTATGACCCATTGTCAGCAGTCACATGCTCTGTGCAGCCCTCCAAACAACTGGGCAATTGATTAACATAGCTCAGATAAGGGTGTTTACACACCCGGAGAGGCTGAGATTGCAGATTTTAAACAGTCTGAAGCTGCATCTTCTCCATTTCTTCAACTGAGGCTGGAAAAGCACAACAGCGCCTGTGCTGCCCTGGGACTGTTCTTTACCAGGAGTCACAAGACATCCCTCCCACACCACAGGAGGCAAGGGTGGGCAAAATAGAACCTGGGCTTTGCTTTTCCCTGGGGTATCCCCTCTCCTGGCATCCACAGCTGGAGATCATCCTCCAAGTCATTCAGTCAAAGCCACCCACTTACAGCTGTTTGGGAATGGGCTGCTTCGAGGACACCACAGCCCTTCAGGGTTTGGTTTGTCCAAATGTCCCATTTCAGGTGACCAGAAAGCTCACATGGGATGTCACAGGAAGCACTGCACTCCTCAGGGACAGAGATAGGACAGCAGCTCTTGCTGTGCTACAAGAGGAGTGAAGTGAATGGCTTGGGGTGGAAAAAAGAGCAGAAACATGCTGGTCCTCAACTTCCACCCTGCCAGAGCCACCATGCAAGAGTCATCACACAGAGAACTGGCTTGGAAGAGGGGGAAGACTTCTTAGTGCACTCTGAAGGCACTCATCCCCACCCTTTGCTACAGCTTCTCCTCCATCTGGTGCAGAACCTCTGGGGGCTATGCAGCTAGACATAGCTAGACATCTGCTGCTCCCCACCCATCCATACCCGACAACACCCATCCTCTTCCCGGTCTGCCAGTCTCCCCCACCCTCCAAAGGGCCATCAGCGAGAGCCTGGCTGCCCAGTGACTGCCCCCTGCTCAGGGAAGGTAAGCAGCTCTCTCACCCGAGCTGCTATCACCACTAAATCATGGAATCATAGAATGGTTTGCACAGGAAGGGTTTTTACGCCCATCTTGTCCCACCATAGGCAGGGACACCTTCCACTATCCCAGGCTGCTCCAAGCCCCGTCCAACCTGGCCTGGAACACTTCGGGGGATGGGGCAGCCACAGCTCCTCTGGGCATGGAAGTTCCATTGCAGTGGAAGCTGGAAAAGGGGCTCGCAAAGCTCCACTTCCAGCACGCACTCAAGTTTCGCGAACTCTGAGGGACACAGCAGGCTGTCCCGGGTCCCACCCTGCGGAACTCCCTCACAGCTCTCACTGCCCACAGCGCCGGGCCAGCGACCCCCGGCACGCAGCACCGGACATCCCACAGAAATGGGCTCCAGAGCAACCCGGCCGGGATTTCGGGGTGCCGTGCGAGGAGCAGCTGGACCTCCCCAGGCCTTGGCGGAGCCGCAGTCACCGCTTACCTCCGGCCACGTCCTGCGCGGCGGCGGGCAGCAGGGCCAGGGCCAGGGCGCAGAGCCGGAGCGCCGGGGCCATGGCGGAGCGGGGCCGGGACACGGCGG